TATCAACCACCTTATATCTATTGTTTACCATTCCTAAAGAGTATTGAACTTCAATATCTTAAGCAAAGCTCATCATAAATCATTGCATTAATACAATGTCAGGGCACTGCAGATTTTTTACAAAAAAACAGCTGTGTCTCATATAATGAAAATAGCAGTATTCTCAACATGAACTATACTTCCCAAGCTTGTGTTGTATTTAATATTACAGGTATTTCTGAGAATTTACTATTGCTAATCAAAATAGCAACATGATTAAGCAATTTTTTAGTTTTCCTCATTTACTATTGATACAAAATTTAAATCTCATTAATTGGTGACAGAAAATTGGACACAAAAAAATAAAGCCTACAAAAAAACACTCCATCTATTCTTGAAACTATGGACAGTGTTATATACAACACATTTAAAGGATACTGCTGTTCACAGTTAAATACTAAGAAGTGCAGAAATTACAGAAAAATCACAGCTAAAACTGAGTACAGCCCACTCATTTGTGCCTTGTGATATGGGTATGCCCACTGCCACAAAAAAATAACCCCAAACAGAACCCACGTTTTTAGTGTCTTAGTCCAACTAGTTACCAAAACAAAATTTTTTGTCTCTCTGGTAGCTTGTACGACACATGAAAAAGGAACAGTGCAGAATAAATAGCAAACAGTTTTTTCTTTAGAGGCCATAAAAACGGCAGCCAAACTTAAGCTGTGACGATTAAGATTTTCTCAGTTTGAGAACTGAACCTACACTTCCACCCTTCAACTCCATTATATTCTCTTGTCATATTTTAGTGAGTTCTAGAAACTGATGAGTAGAAAGTAAGAGATCGTAGCCTTCATCTGGGAGCAAAATAATCTCACTTTTCCTGGGTAGCTCAGTCCATAAACTGGCAGCTCTTGTTTAGGGTGACTTTGCTTGATCTTATGAATCCAAACTGCTTGTTGAGAGGTGTCCAAATGCTTTTGCTTACTGTCCCCAGGCTGATGACCAGGGTGGGTTCCTGCAATGTGTACACTAAACCCTTTCACTAGCATTGTCAACACCCCAATGTCTCTCATTTCCCAAGGAGAAATTCTCTGTTCTTGAGGATGCTACACTAAAGAGACAACTCATTGATTGCTGTTGAATGGATCATCGCCATTCCTCACTACAACTATTCACACAGGACCTTGCAAGTGCTCCACCTACAGCAGAATCACTGGAAAGTTTTGGATGAGAAATGTGTGTGAGAGTAATGACTAAAATGTTTGGATCCCAAGAAAGTAAGGCAGTTCTAGCTGACAGACTACTTTACTGGGCAACCAAGGTAACACTGTCCTGGATTCTAACATACAGTGGTAAAGATACTGCAAAGAATTAATTTTAAATCCCACCTAATTTCTTCTTATATTAATGTATTTTAGTTTATTTTAACAGTGTATTTATTCTCATTACTATATATACCTTTCACTTATATATATTGGGGGTGGGAATGGGGAGAGTATTCTTTCTATATGTGTTGTATGGTCTCTGGCCAGAGAAAGCAAGAGATGCAACTATGTATTATGCATACATGCATTATCTCCACATCCCCTACATTTCTCTGTGTTTCATTGAAGTCAAGAAATACTATAATCTGAAGCACTCTTGAAGCATACTACTTCCATTTGAAAGTTTTTACTGAAAGTCAGAATATTATAGACTAATGTTTGACTCAGTTACCAAGCTTCTAGTTCCAGCAAGAGCATGAGAGTATTAATTTACTCTTGACAGTGTGTAAATTCCTGGGGATATTTTTAATCTTGTACAAATATCCTGCAGTAAAAAGTTCCTGCTAACTTTATTACCAAAGGACAAAGTAATTAAAGAGAAGGTCAATGGGAAAGATCTGCAAATCTTTGATGTTAAAATATGTAGCACCATTCCTCTGGATTGTGTTTTCTGTAGTCTAATTATATAAATCTAATATCTAATTGTAATATTTTATTTCTGAAAAAAAATGGAACTTATTTTTCTAGAGTAGATGAACATATTCAGAACATAGTTATTTAAGTAAAAGAGCAGTATATGCTATGTTTTTAATTTAAGGAACACAGTATGAAGAATTGTGTATAAAACAGCGCATATATTTTACCCTTGCCAAAAAATCAAAATAAAGTTCTTTTGCACTTCCAGGGCTTTCAGTTATCACCTCCAGAGCTACTGCAAATTCCTGACAGAGACTAGGGGTAGGAAGAGACCAAGTTGGGTTTTGTTTACCATTTCACTTTGGTTAGCTACAAACCTCATTGCTGGACTGGGCCCATACCTCAAGTCTTTCCTTCAGTGATTTAAGGCACCCAGTGGGTCCCACATTTTTAATGTGAGTGAAAAGGAAAGTGGAACAACAGGGACTTGTCCATGCTCAAGCAAGGTATCTGCATCTGAGCAACTGGAAGCACAGCTCAAAAAAACCCCAGTGGATCAAACTGCACTGTCCTATAAAGAAGAATAAAAAAGAAACAACCAAAAGTGCTTTATGATTGAACAAGGATTATTGTACATATAACTTATTAGTTGTTAGACTTCCAGACAGCATGCCATGCAAAAGAATGACTGCAAATATCTCAGGTAAATTTCTTGGTAAACTGCCTCTTGTATAATAGCTATTTCTTCTGGGGAAAGAAAACCCCCAACAGAATAAAAAAGACAACTTGTTAATAGTATGGGATGTGACTTATATGAGATGAAGGTATTTTCACATGTGGCTGCTCAAATTACAACTGCTCTGCCATTGACACTTGAGCAACAAACCTGAATGATATTATACCTAAAACTTGTGAACTTATGCAATTTTTTTTGGAGTTAACCATGAGATAGATTTTTCAAATATCTTATGAATATAATTCTAGTTAAACTTAAGGAACAGTATTCAAATCCAATTAGTATCCCATTAAACAGTGGAAAACAAGACATAAGAATAGGAAATATGGTCATGCTGGGAAGTAGGGACATGCTCATGTTCCTGAAAGATAAGAGAATCCCTAAAGATCTTGTTGGTCTTGTGTAAGAAAGGAAGAAAATATAAACTTGATAACTCTCAGAAATACTAAAAAGTAAATTCTAATTTTTGGATTAAAGCATTTGGCAAAAATGAAAACAAACAAAAAATACAGTAGATAAAATGGAGGCTGTGGAATGCACCCTGACTGCTATCGTATTCATAAGAAGTATTAGATATGGAGTATATTTTAATAACAGTATGTTGTGTTAGTTTGGATCTTAAGTTGGTAAAATTTCATGCCATGGAATAAAAGAATTCCCTGCAAATAACAAGGTAGTCATTCTTTACTAACCTTTTTGAAACACAAAATACCTAACACATGGAAGTAAGGAAATGTTTTCAAAAGATAAGTACAAGTAGCACTGGTTAGCAGAGTCATTAAATAATGTCCCCTGCTATTTCAAACAGCTGTCTCATAGATGCCTCTCCATAAATTTAACTAGATCAAACTTAAATGGGTGACATTGTTAGCTCCCAGCTGCTATTTCTATGGAAAGCCTTGTTCTAGAGTGTAAGTGGCTAAGGAGCTTTCCTTATATTTGTCACCTGAATTACTTTATTCATTGTATGACAAGATGGTGTCTTAGTTAAGATAGCCTAGGAGACTTGAACTCACTAAACAAATCAATGTTCTCTAGCACATCCTCCTTATGCTACTCTGTGTTTCATGTGTTCTATTTGCTTTGCCCTTTCTTAAAAACAGAACATATCCTTTCCTATATATCATTACATGTCTTTGGTCTGTGGTTAGAAAATAATGCTTTTATTACTGTGTGGAGAATCAGGTTTTACTGACCAGTCAGTAATCTTAAAGACACAGTTAAGTTTGTTTAAGGATAGTTTTTCCATCAAGGTTTAAAAAAATTGATTATTTTTACATTGATTCCAGTAGTAATATTTACTGCAGCATTGCTAAAGCACTAAAACAAATACTATGGGTGAACAGACTCTTAATTAACATGGCTGTTATTGCATTGGCAATAGTTAAGGCAATCTTAGCTCTTGTTTTCCATGTGATTATACATTATACAGATGATTTATTTTTGGTTTGTATAGGTTCAGGCAGGAAGATAACAAAAGATAACTAAAAACACATACAGATTTGAACAAATCTATTTGCAAAGAAATATATTGAGAAGAAAGACCAATATTTTCAGTCACTTCAGTGAAAGGATAGACTGGACACTGTATATCCTCAGTGAGCCTTGAAGATCTGTGTTTCCTGTCAATCTAAGTAACAATAAATTAAACATTTACTGTCTTTGCCATTAGATAGATCATTGAAACATGTGAAGTGAATAGTACTACTCTTTTTTTTCAGAGCAGAAATACATATTTGATGTTTAATGCAGGGCTACTCTCAACTGGGAAATGTCTGTTCACTGAGTAAAAAAGAACAATTTTTTGCCAGCAGGCTTTTTAAACCCACTGTTTTGCTATCCGTCTAAGACTGTTTTATATTAAATATTAAATATATTTAATGGGGAAATCTTGGCAGAAGTAACTGAAACAAGGCAAATTCCTTTTTTAAGAATATCCTTTGCTGAGTATTCCACAATTTTAAAATTATGATTCATGGCAACTAATTTTACTTATCCAAAAATTGAGTAGCTAATTGATAAAGCAAATCAACAGAAAGAACCAAATCCAAGAGCATTTATTTTAATTTTAAAATAGGTAGAATTAGTGACTGGCTCATCACAGAATTTCTACAGAATGTCTCACCTTTGATTGTGGAGGGATCCTGAATGCCCATCTTGGACCTTCAGCTTAACTGTTAGATTGCTAAAACTGGCTGAGAATAACATTTTAACATCCAATAACACTTTTTACATTAAAATTTCTGACCAGTGAATTAATTATTAATGACCACTGAATTAATTACAGTCTTTATAAGCTATAACCATAAAGACCAGTTGTTCAATTTCTTTATTAACAACATATCTGCTTTTATTGAAAATGCTGAAAGATAAAAACTTACCACAGTGAGATTCAGGTCACTGAAAGCTTGAAATGCTCATGGTCAGAGATGTATAAAACATGCATATATGATAGTCTTAGCTGGAAATAGTAGGAAAAGGAAGGGTGAAATCACATATTCATATTTCCATCCTTGCAGTACCTATGTGCAGCATAGATATGTGGCACGCAGCACATTGTGTTATGTAATAGAACTAAACTAGGAACAAGGTTGCTGCTGGTTTTTTTCTGGGAAAGAATACTTCAAACACTGTGCAGCTTTGAAGCAGTTGGTTGCTCAAGTCACGACTCAGTGGTGCTTGAGCATCTGCAAGAAGTCACATAGATCTACAGTGGCTGACTCATTTCCAGTTTTGTACAGAGATATGTGCGTCACATCTTTGATTAATGGCACTGGTGGTGAGAAAGAGCATCTGGGGAAATTGAGGAGGTCACTGCAGTCACACTCATTTGTCAGACAGGGTCTAGTGATGAACATAATTGTTGTAATTGCTTTAAAATTTCCTGGCTTGAAATATCGTTCTTGCATAGAAAATTGTACGGAGTTCTCAAGTACAAAGGGAAGAATATGAGGTTTCAATCTAAGGCGAGGATTTTTCAGTATTTGATAAAGCTTATACTCTCCCAGTTCTGTAGAAGTGCTAAGCACAAGATTTCTTAACAGAGGAATGTGGTGTCAAAGATCAGTTCAGCGAGTGAGCTTCTCTCTGCCCAAAGTAAAATCTTTGCAGATGATCTAATACAAGCAGCAAGATTATGTTTAACAGAAAAGACACTCTGCATGGCACTTTCTATTTTGGAAAATTTAAGTAGTTATTCCAGTATTTTTCTCGGCTCAACTGATTTTCCACTATTTAGCATCACCAGGGTTTTCTTTTTGGATATTTGTACAGTACTGAATACCAGTTTTGAATATTCCATTCAGCAGCTGTTAGCTAGAAAATACAAAAAGGTTTATCGATCTTCCCCCTACTCTGGAGTGAGAGGGATGGGCAGAGGCATCTTGGCAGTAGGACCACATGTGGATTTTCAGGCATTATGAAGGTGAGTCCATGGCCAAATGCCAGAAGATTCCTGTTGTTTGAAATATGACAGAGCCTCTTTCAGCAATACTCCTGAGTCTGCCAATGGCAGTTGCAAAATCAGTGACAGATGGAAGACATTGAATGGGCTCCTCTGTCTCTTCTTTAATCAGGTCTGGGGATTTACACACTAAACAACATTACTTAGATTTTTTTCTCCTTAATTCTGTTATTTAAAAATATATCAAATTATCCCGTGGCAGAATATATTTTTCAAAACAAGCATTAAAACAGAAATTAAGGCTAGCAAATTATATTAGTCTCTTATTCAAAAGTATAGTCAGGAAAATGAAATAAAAATATGTCAGAATTTCTTACAGACTTTGCTGGCATCTACTAAGTTTAAAACAATTTGTGTAGAGTTAGAGTTTAATACCCGAACTCTCTTGTAATTGCACAAATTTTAATAGTAAATTATTGTTTTCAATATTGTTTTCAATCACTTTTATGTGATTTGATCCTACAGTCTGAAGTTTTAGATGCAAAAATTGACTAATACCCTCAAAAAAGTTGGTGGTAAATATAGAGAAATTAATCCCCATAAAAGTTTTTATATTCAGCATTTGCCACATAATTCAAGAGCAACCACAGCATTAAAAAAAAAATCACATTACTTGTAGTATTTGCTCTGGGGATGTTTTTAAACAACACTTTAATATCGAATAGACCACATCATCTGTGCTGGCTCATCGACTTAAAAGTTATTGCTGCTTCTCATGTGCAATGGAGCGGGAAATCAGACAGTAAACACTGCAAGAATTATCAACAATTTTAGGCAGTACCTAAAGTTAACTGAATAAATATGGGTTTTTTTAATATAATTTGCACTCTGGGAAAATGAGGGGAGCAGCCTGAAGGAATAAAAACATTGGTGCATGCTGGATTTGCTGCAATAAACAGTCTTTTTCATTTGCAAATGAGGAATGAATGAAAGCAATGGCTTTTCAAGAAATATTATTGCAAGGTTTTGTGTGAACCCAAAGTTTTGGTAACTTTCAAGAAGCTTTCGGATTGACAAATACACACACACACAAACCTTAAAAAAATTACATGCTTTTGCTTCCTGTCTTGATCGAAGGATAATTCTTCAGCATTTTTATCTACCACCTCTAAATGCTAGTGCTTTTTCTCTCCTTCTGTTCTTTAGAAGAAGTGCATGAGGGGAATGCCAAGAATAACAACTGAGTGCTATTGCAGGTATTTTATTTTAATGACATTCAGAATACTAATTTATATTCATGAAAATAATTAATAGAAAAAGTTTGCAATAGAGAGAAATCCCTCCCCTGCTACTTCTTCATTTCATCTGTGCAGAGCCAAAACCTATTTTAAGATCAGTCTGTTTCTCTACATTTTTAGAATAAATATATTCAGTATTTAGGATAAAGCCATCTCATCTACATTTATAAGAAAGAAATTTTCAATGTTTTAGAATCCTTAATGAATATATATTAAAAGATGCATCCTATTGAACTTGTCAACATAAAATTAACTTGACATAATCTACATTAATTTGTAGAGCAAAAACTCAGAAAAACTACAGATTTTTTGAAAAAGCAAAACAATTTCAAATAGTTTCTTTGGAGGTATGTGGTTAAACTACTCTCTATATCATTTCCTTCCCCAAGATGGAGATATCATTCTCATAGATTGCATAACTTGAAAAATCACATTCTCGAGTCACCAATGCTGAAATGTAATAAAATAATGAGGTCCCTAGTGCACTTAAATTTTATGAAGCCCAGACGTGGCCAGGGAGCTCATATATCAAAAAGGAAAGGTCAGCAATATTTTTTTTTTTTTTTAAGAAAGTTAAGCCACTAAATTGCCTTAAAATTGGAAGAATATTACTTATTCATCATAATCCTCCAGTAAGCTATAGGCATTTTTAAATTTTTTCTTCCAGTGGAGAGACCACTTTAGGGCATCCTCTGTTGGGCAGCGGAGTGAGCAGTGCAGAGCCGCTCTGAGCAGCCTGTGCGATGTCCTGGCTCCATCTGGGCTGGCGCTGGTGCCTGCCAGGACATCCAGCCCCCAGAGCTCGCCGTGCTGCTCCTGCACAGGTTCTTCCCACCCCGACCCTCTGCACCCGAGGCTCTGCCTCCTCTGCAGGTGCTGCCTGCACACCGGGCACTAGTGCTAGCAGCACCTCAGCACCAATCCACCTGGCATTACTGCAGACGGGGCGAGGCAGGCTGCTTCCCAACATTTATTTCTCCTCCAGCTCTTACCTGCAGCACGCGTGAGGTAGCTATCCTGTTACATGAGATACAAATACATGTAGGCAAAGTCCCTAAAGAGTACAATGTATACCCTAGACTATTTAGACTCATTATTTGTCCAGATGTATGGCTGCACGTGCCATGACTCTGTGTGGTAAGCAGTCAGCCTTCTAAGGTAAATCACTCTGAATTACACAGCAGACTTTGTCTTGTCAGAGCAAACCTGGTTCATTATTTTCAGTGTCCTTCATAATCTTGTTTTCTCACTCGTCTTTCTCTGTTTGTGGCTCTTGTGACCATATTTCTAAACAATATGAAGGATGAGGTACTAATTATATCATCAACTCTATTACCATTATTCTCTTTAAAAGGTGTCTTTAATATAGTTCTTTTTGAAAATACTGATTTTCAGGATTAAAATGTAAATATGCTTTCACAGGATTTGAGAGAAACAGCAATGAGTCTCAAAATCATAACTCATTAAATCATAACTCAGGACTCAAAATCCATAACTCATGCAATGACTTTACAGGTTTTATATTTGCTTAAGAAAATAAGTTACTACAAAGAGAAGAAATACTAAAAGTATTGGAAGTATGGAAGATGAGAGTTGGGTAGCTTTGCTATTATATATTGAAAGCATCAAAAGATTAGTGAGATGCACAAGATGATCACGTTAATCGGCAAATAATGGCATTTTATGAGAAAGCATAAAATTTCCAGTGTGTTTGAACTAATAAATAGCAGTCATAGTATGTGGAACAAAGATCAGTCTGGAAGGAAAGCATTAAGAGTGAAACATGATTTTTTTGTGAGTATGGCCAACTTAAACTGTTAAATATTACCTAAAATAACAAACATGAACCTACTTGTATTGTCAAAGATGAGACAGAAGCATGTTTAAAGCTCAAATTCGGGTGTTCTGTATGTACCTCTGGAGAACTTGGTTGTTTTTTGGTTTTTTTCCAGGTATTAAAAGAGGCTTACTACTTCTGCTAAAGCATGATAACTGTGCCTTTCGTTTTCTAGGTTTTTCCCTTAAAATTAATGGGCTTTCAAATGTAGTAGACTCAGTGACAAAAATCTAATTTCCAATGCAAAAAAAAGGAGGTCCAAATCCCTCAAAAGTATTTCAGATTTAGAAGTGTATTGTGAAAAAGAAGAAGCTGATTTTTTTATTTTCTACATCAGGCTTAAAGAAGACTTCTATCCATGGGAGTAAATTCTAACTGGGAGCTGCAAGCTGGCCAAAGGCAATCAGAAGAGTGACTCTTTTACCAGATTTTGTTAAATGTGGGGTCTTTCCTATGTTTGAAACACAGGTTTGTATTTATTGTGGATATCAAAGGTGATGTTATTCAATAAAAAATGACAGCCTGTGAGAATAAAATAAAAAGAACAACTATTGCTGGTGGTAGTAGAAGATATAAAATTGTAGGAGAGGATCACTGACTCCTGCGAGGAAGATTGTTCCCCAGCTGGAGCAGTTGTGAAAAATGGGAAAGGAAAAAAGAGAAAAGTGATTTCAAATATCAGATAGAAATAACATTTATTTCAATAGATAGTTCTGCTGATTGAAATCAACTGGCTAACTCACATTAGGTGATTTACTCAAGCTGAGACACTATCCCTGAGTTTCCTTTGGGAAGGCAAGGATAAGCAGATGTAATAGTAAAAGCTATGTCAGTTCAATGTTTCTCCCAATGATTAAGCCTTTATTAGAGAAGTTAGAAAACAGACTGCATTGCTGAAACAAGAGATTTGCACCATTTGAACTTATTTGCCCATATCAGTCACCCTTCCATAAAGATAAAACTACAAGGTTTTGAGATAAATCTAGAATAAAATTTCTAGAAGTAGAACACCTGTGATTATGTTGACATCAATATATGAAAATCTCAAGTGTAAATCTTCAGTGATAGGACAGACTTGATACTGGAGTTCCAGT